GACAAAGACAAAATAACTGATGCTAAGGGCAGTGTTACTATAATAAATATATAATGGCAAATAATTACAATAACAAAAGGATTTGTAAATGCCAGACAATTTCTTACTAGAACATAACTGTTACTGAATGATATGCCTCTGTTTGAACAGGACCAAGGAATTTCTAACATTTGCTTCATCAGATAATTGGAAGTAGAAGAACCCTATTCATCCTTCCTTACTCTTATACATGTTGCATCTTTCTACTTCACTACATGGGTCCCCTGATACATACTCTAATAGCAATGTAGACACTTTCCTCACTGCTCTTATTTTCATTTATAATTACATATTATTTCTGTAGGTATTTGTTCAAGGTGTATCTTCCCTTTAGGATGTGATCTCTGTGAGGGTAAGGAGCATGTTTGGTAGGGACTCAAGAAATATCTGTTGAATTAGCAGATTATACCATTAGTCAATACTTAGTGGACATGTATACTATATATTCTTCATATTTTCAGTCTGCGGTTGGTTGAATCTATGGATATGGAAGGCCGAGTAGATGCATTTTGTCATTTTGACTATCATTTTTTTATAGTTATTGGTGATTCAGCTTTTACAACAGTGCATTTTTTAAGCACAACCACCAGACCCAGAGCTAGTTAGTACTAAACATGTGTGTAAACTCCCACTCAGAGTACCCAGTAATCAGTGTGAGTCCATGTACCCTCCCCATCCAGCCCACCTCTCTTCAAGAGGTGCCTTTCAGCATCACCCTCATGTCCCCTGCCAGTCAAGAACCAACCAAGGGGAAAAAACAAAAAGAACCAACTGAGACTCTGAGTCTGTAGAAGCAAAGGTCATTGGCTGTGTTCCCTGCCTCTCTGTGGAGTTACCCTTTTGTTGCATGTTCACGGGAGTCCTGCCCATATGGTCTGCATTCGGTCATCTTTCTGGCTTCTTAGTCAAATTAAATGAAAAACAGTAGGAGGCAGTGGGCAAAGTTCTGTGGAAGAAGCGTGACTCTGATACATGTGAGGGGATCTGATTATAGACTAGATGGGGTTTTTTGAAGCCACTGGACTGAGAAATTCTCTTTCTGAGTCAGTATCTTCCAGAATTGTCAGATTTTTAGATGCATTAAAATGTTAGCGCCTTGCCTAAAGAGAACAGAAACCAAACCTTGGCCTCTTTGATTTTAGCTGAAAGCTAGAAGCAGTTGTAATTTCCCTCTAACCCAGAACTGAGGTGATGGGTGGGTGGTTCTGTACGTTCAAACCCATCTCCATTAGCTTATTCGACAAGCTTGGGATAAGTTTCAACACCCAAGACCAAGAGGAAACCGTGAGTCGCTTAATGACCTGGGATGATGATGTTTATCACCTTTAAGTCAATCAGTGCCATAAGTCATGAAATTTGATGTGATGGACCACCACATTGATTACGTGCTATTCTGGGCCTTGGAATATTATGAAGAGGAGGGGTGTGTGGCTGCAAAAGCCACCCCTTTCCCTGTTATCAGTGTGCACTGTCCTTACCCTCAACAATGTGTGTGAGCCCCGGGGGGAAACTGTAGTTCATCTTCTGTTAATGGCTACCCATTCTTCCCCTCCCCACCCCTGCACATTCGAAACACTTGACTAGAATGTTTTCAGCCTTGCAGAAAGAAACCAAAACAAACGTCCTCTATGGTATTATTGAAAAATGAATTCGGAGATTGTGAATTACTGATTCCATAGTGTGCATAGAAATTTTTAGCAAGTCATCGCTCATAATGCTTTGAATTGTATGAACCAGCAAATGAAAAGATTAGATCAATCATCTCTCTCCAGCTTGGGACTTGAGTCAATAATTCAGATGAAAATTGAACTACAACAAACCTTCACCTCTCAGTATTTGAGCCCCCAGGTGTTAAAATCTCTTTAAGTTATCAGAATTGGGTACACACATTCTCATATCTACCTCTATGAAATTTGTCAAAATAGGACTTCGGGCTTAGGTAAGCTCCTTATAAAACTGGCTGTACTCCACACATCCTGAAGATCTGTAATAATTTCAAGTGAGTCCCTCTTCTGGATGAAAGAAATGTCCATAAGATTAATAGATTGTAAATAGTTTCCTTCACTTTTCTTTCTTCGTGGGGATTTCAGTATGATCCCAATCTCTTACATTTTTCCCAGACAATTAAAATAACTCCTAACTTTGAACTTTAATTGAAACTACTAGCAAAAAAAAAGGAAACTACTAGCTTGTATTTTATTAAATTAAGAGGAAGAAACCAGAAAGAATTCTCCCAGGCTTTTAAAAGAAATGAGTCAATTTATCCTATATTTTATTAATTATACTTTAATATTATTAAATATAACAATATGAATATACTCTCTTTTCTCCTAAATTTAACATTAATCCTTAGATCTCAGTCCAAATATTTTTTAAAAATCAGTGATCTATAGCTATATATTAGTCTTAATGAATTTCACATAAATTAACACATACATAGAAAGGAATCATTTTCCAAGAGGAATTTTGATTCTGTGAGTTTAAAAGAAATGGAAAAGGTTAAGCTACACAAAAATGAGAAAGGCTACTGTGCGAAGTTCAAGCATGGACAGATACTGCAGGGTTAGCTGCAGTGAGGCCCACACGGCTGCAAAAACCAATCCCAGTACTGAATCAGGATCACAATTTTCAAGGGAGCTGCAAAAGTACAAGATTTTTGCCTGGTGAATTTTCCTTGGCCATCTTTCCTTTGTTTCCCCATATATGTTTTTAAGTGACTGGTAATTGGATGTTTAAGGAAATTAAAAGGCAAACTTTTTCTAAATTAAATCTAAAAGAAATTTGATGCAGCAGGCAGAATGCTTAGACATACGTGATTTGACCACAGTTAGTGATGTTTAGAAATCTGGATTTAAATGTCCTTCAGGCAGGCCTGTATTTTTGAGTCTAGTTCACTACAGAGCCAACTGTTCCTACTTTCCATTACATCTTCACAGCCTGCTTGGGTCATGTGATCCTGTAACCCTCTCAGTAACTCATGGAAGCGAGTTTTCTTTGAATACTACTTTGCACCCACTCTAGTGGTCAGCATTAAGGGTACATTCCAACAGGGTATAGGCCCTGCCCACATGTTTGCCATCATAAGGGAAACCAGGGTTCTGAGAGGTCATAGCAAGAGAGTTTAAGCTGGTGAGGAGAGTTAGCAAAGGCTTCCCTGCATCCACCGAGATTTTCTAGATGAAGGACACTGAGGCTCAGAGTGAGCCGGGACTGGAACCGGCTCTCATTTCTGAAGTCCGTGTCCTTGCCACTCTGCCTGTGGAGGCTAGAGAGGCGGGGACCCACAGCAGAAGGACCAGGAAGAGCAGACGTGTCCACTCATGCTACTGAATGTCTTCTCACTGCCAATCCTGTATTAATCATGACCTTTAGACAAACCTTCTCTTCTGGGGTCCTTTGAGAAGAAAAACCTTACTCTTCTCTTTCTGCTTCTGAGGCCTACCCCTTACTTCCTCTGAAAACTATCATTAGATCAATAGCTTAAAACCCCACCAAGCTCATTTGATTCACCCACTGGGCCAAGTAGATTTTTTGTGTGTCTGAAGCAGAATATTTTCCCCTTGTAATGACAAAGGAGGGTCACACAGGTCACTGGTGCATAATGAATGAATTCATTAATTTGATTCCTTAATAGGGAATCATCTTACTGAGGAAACCTTGAGACATGTGCTAATGTGATCTACCCATGAGAATTTAAAAATTAAAAATCAAAACAACAACTAGGTTGTTCATATCTGAGAGCTACCGGTTGACCACGTCATAGGTATTTTACCCTATGGTGAAAATATTTAGTAGAAAGAGTTGAAGGTTCAAATCTGCAAACATAAATTTAAATTATTGCTTTACCACATAACTAGCTCCTAGCTACCCATGAATTTCTGGATTTTGATGGAAAGGGTTGTTTACAAAATGCTGATAGTATTAACTCCATCCTCATAATATGGTTGAGAGATTTAAAGCGCTTTACAGTAGCATAATAGAAACAAAAAAGGCAGAGTGAAAATCATCTCAGCCTTTTTTTCCCTACTGGCTTTTATTCAAAATGACCGCCTTTCCGCAATTTCCTGGGTATTTACACTCCATATTTGGCTATTTTGTCTCCACTTTGGTGGAGGGATTTGCAAAGTCAAAGTTGGTGGCACTCTTGCTCTCCTAGAGACCTCCATGTTATGTTCTAGTTGGGTGAACTTTCTCTCACCTCTCAGGATACTGAGCGCATAGTAGGTAGTTTCGGAGTGTTTTTCTTTTGGAAAGACTGCTTTGGACATTCCCAGGTGGTTAACAGTTCATTGCCTTAGCATTTCAAATTTCAGGTCACAATGTCATTTCGTGGAAGATAAAACAAGATCTCCCCCACACACACTAGTCACGGTAATTGGAAATTGCAGAGTTAAGGTTTCTTGGATTTGTGCAGTTTTTTACTCTTCTTTTGATGACCTGAGTGGGGAACTGAGGTTTAAAATAGCCTCGTTCTCCCTTCCCAAGGTAAGTCTGGGAGGCTGCTGGGTCCCAGAAGGATGGGATTTGCTTTTCTATATGTTACTATGGGACAGGGACATCCCTCCACAGCATACACCTGTCACTGAGAAAGGTGCGGGAGAGGAAACAGTGCACCCGAACCCAGACCTGAATTAACAAATGACTGTACGAAAATAAGGCTCACTCTGATTGTTCAGCCAAACGGAGCTCTGTTGACCAAATATTTCTCTTTTCTTGTTGGAAAAATGTTAGGGTGGGGAATAGAAAGGAGGAAAGGAAAGCCTCTTCATCCAAATGTTTAACGTGAATTTGCCCTTGTTAGAGCCATCAGCACATGGGTCAGTCTGCAGACTACCTCAAGTGAGCAGAGCCCATCCCTCTACCCAGTAGAACAGCTGAGTCAGCGGGTGTGCAAAGCGCCCGCGTTCCCGAGGGTTCTTGGTAGGAGGCTCACACCACTAACTGCCACACTCCCATTGCAGCCTGGGAAGACCTCCAGTGGTGTTTACCTACAGGAAGCTCATCACCCATATCTATTCCAGACTTACGGCAAGGTCAGCCTACTTGCTTTCTTTTAGGCATAGCTATGCCCTGGGCTTTCCCACCTCGCTGGAAACCGTATGTATCCCACTGCACTCGCGGGCATCGCCCAGGCGGCTGGCAGAGCGCGCAGCTTCCCACGTTATGCCCGCATTCTCAGCTAATGTCCCCACGCCCTGTTCTTCCAGTTGAAGGAACCTAGGTTCAGAAGGACTAAATCATTTTTCCAAGGTCAACACACACACACACACATGCACACGCACGCGCACACACACACGGGAGCCAGATCCCCACTCTTTTGACTTCAAATCCAACATCCTCTCTGGAGACTGCCACTGCCGTGGGCACAGCAGCAGTGCCAGCTTCCCCCCCGGTGGAGCTGTGGTGCCTGGCACAGTGCCAGGCACCCAGTGGTGTTCAATCAGTATGGTTTTTTATTATTTTGTGAATGACAAAAAAAAAATAATGTAGCTCCAGGAATGATCTCATCCGACAGATTATGCATTTCATAGATAATGAAACAATAGCTCACCAGAATTACACCAATTATTCAAGGATCATTTGTCCTTAACTTAGAACAAGTTTCCCTTACTAATACTCCCGTGCTCTACTGTTTTATTATGATTGTTGTTATTGATTTATGTTTTCACCCCAGTCAAGCCTGGTGTATATTCATAAATGTTCTTATTGCAACTGTTCAGTAGAAAAGCAAACATCCTGGTGCTGCCTAGAGCAGGGTAGTCTCTGAATATCATCATGCGTAGTAGCCAAAGAAATTTTGCTAAGTTATTTTTTTGGTAGTTAAAATAACAGTTAACAACCCAGAGCAGGACAGAAAAACAAGGGGTAGTAGGTTTCCCGTTTCCATCAGCTTCACTCTCCCCGAACTTTGAAAAGTCCCAATCTTCTCCCCCAAGCTTTGGACCCTAATGATCAAGGTTTGAGTTCCAGCTCCACCATTTAGGACTTTGGGAAATTTGGTGAATGACTTCACTTACAAACCAGGAAAAAAATTTCTTTCCAAAGGATGGTTTTGAGCATCCAGTGTGACAATTTCTGCAAAGTCCTGACACATAGTATGCAGCTGTAAATATCCCTTTCCTTCACAGGGCCATCAAACCCATCACTAAGGCCATTACCTGGCCCTTTCTTGACAGGGTGTTTCAACATTTATTGGGCTTAATTTCCAAATCTTACAGACTTTGAAAATTATCCTTAAGAATATATTTGTTTAACATTTCCACTAAGCAAAACACTGCCACAAACCAAACATAGAGAATGTCTGATCAGTGGGCAGAGATTAATTGCTCAATTATTATGTTCCCACATATTTTATAGCCTCTAGTTCTCAAAAGATTTCAGATTTGAATTTATAATACAGGGGCATTAAACCACATTTGAAAGCTAATTGATAATATATAATCTCAGCAACATTCTTCTTGCCTTCTGCATAATTAATGAAGCTCAGAGCATTATATCTTCCAATTAAGTGTTGGTTATATTCCTTGTTTCCATATATCATCTGTACCTATCATTGGCCATTTTTCTTTTATTTTGTAATTTTTAAAATGTTACTGGAAATTGGTATATCCTGATTCTCCACCAAAATAAATATAACCTGCTGTTAATAATCATGTGTTGTGGCTAGGTTTGATTATCTAGGGCAGCAGCCTATTATATCATTACATCGTTACAGCAATCTTCTCGGATTGGATTACCACATCACTTGATATGATGAGGAAACTGAAACTCACATAGCTCATAATGGCAGGACCACAGTCCAGCTTTAGATAATGTAGCCACAAAGCCAGTCCTCTAAACCGCTAGGATAAATACAGAGTCGACCCTTGAACAACAGGGGAAAGGGTCAGGGGCACCGACCCTTGCACAGTTGAAAATCCATGTCTAACTTTTGACTCCCCCAAAACTTAAGTTGTCTCTTGGTAACTATGGAGGATTTGTTCCAGGACCTCCTGCAGGTCCCTAAATTGCAAGATGCTCAAGTCCCCTATTAAATGGCATAGATCAGTGCCTGCGACGGCCCTCCGCATCTGCAGACTCTCAACCTGAGATTGAAGGCAGTATGGATAGTCATTGAAAAAATCCATATGTCAGTGGGCTCACTCAGTTCGAACCCATGTTGTTCAAGGGTCAGCTGTACTGCCCAAGCTAGGTACCGCAGCACTCTTCTGTAATAAGCGTCTGAAAGGCTGATCGTTTAGATTGTCTCATTTGATTCGTCTCCCTTGCAGATGGACCCCCATGAGAACATCTTACTCAGCACTCTTGAGATAAAAAATGAAATGGCCACATCTGAGGCTGTGATGGGACTTGGAGACCCCAGGAGCACAATGCTGGCTTATGATGCCTCCAACATCCAGTATCGGAAAGCCGGGCTGCCCAGGCATACTTTTGGCCGAAATGCCCTGGAGCGACACGTGGCCCAGAAGAAAAGCCGCCTGCGGAGACGCGCGTCCCAACTGAAAATCACCATCCCCGACTTGACTGATGTGAATGCCATAGATCGGTGGTCACGCATATTCTTCCCCGTGGTTTTTTCCTTCTTCAACATCGTCTACTGGCTCTACTATGTGAACTAAAACATAGCCTCCCTCGGGAAGCAAGGACTAGACCCCTCCTCAATCCAGTTGTACAGCCTGACGTAGGACTTGGAAAACACATCCATCCGGATCAAAGTGATGCTAAAATACCTTAGTTGCTGGCCTATCCTGTGGTCCATTTCATACCATTTGGGTTGCTTCCGCTAAGTAATGAATAACTAAGGTCCTTGTGGTTTTCCAGTTGAAATGCAAGTGACTTGCACGCATGCTGGCAAGACTGAGTCCGAGTGCTCCACTTTATCTGCTAGGTGTGCAGCCAACACAGGGGAACTATTTAGAAGGTGTTCTTAGAAGGCGCGATAGCATTGTCAGTCATTTCGCTGAGAAACGGTCATGTCCAGATACTCCCATCTCAACCCTAAGGTTGGCATGCTGCTGAGATGGCACCGTGCTTACGAAACATTATCCTCAATGCCATGTGAACATGCTTACGGAAGGTGGCCTGTGCCTATCTTATTAAGGCGATAATGGTGCCATGGGCAGATAATTCCCACAATGAATTCTAGAAGGTTCTCATTGTAGTTCAAACAAGATAAGGGGAGTCAAGACAGAGATTCAGGAAACCAGCTTGGCCAGTTTCAGATTGCTCGAGCACTGGGAATCAACTATGAGGTCTTCCATGTTGGCATGTAGAGTCCAGGAGAATTCTGAACATTACCATGCACAGTGGCCAAAGAAATTTTTCTAAAACTCTATTTCCTAGGTGGTTAAAAGAAGAGTTAAAAACCCAGAGCAGAGTGGAAAATCCAGAAATGACTGTTGGAACAAAATGAAATAAGTAAGCAGCATGACCCTTTTCAGCCCACACAGCATCTGGTCTATACATACTGTGGTCAGTGGCAAAAGGCAGAACAAGAGATTTTTTTCCAACCTCACAAGCTTTTGACAGCATACCTACAGAGGCCTGTATAGTTTATTTAATTAAAAGACACCCACAAAAGAGAAAAGTTAGCCCAATTAGCATCATCTTAGATGCAGGTTAGGTTGAGTTATTGGAACGTACTAATGCAAAATGCAAACAGGTTGCTTTACACACACCGATGTCTGCTGTCTCTGCAACATTTTGCCCTATAAGTTTATTTCTGACTTTAATAGGGTATTTCCAAAGAGGGATTTGTTCATTTCGTTAAAAGATTAATGTTCCTTTCCAGTTTTTCTTGCTTCTGAAAGTCTGATTGTATTTTTAGGAGACAGAAAACAGAAGGCTTTGGAGAGATTGAGTGAACTCTGCATCCTTATGTGCAATGAAGTTCATCTTACTATTTTTCAGAGCAAATAATACTTCCAAGGTTACGCGCACAAGTGGAGTTACTGTTGTGGGTTTGTTAGGTTTGCTTTTTTAAGGTTGCCTTCACTGTGTATGTTGCAGTCTCCCTAGTCAAGGAAAATATGGCAACCGTGGGAAATAGGATAACAGGGCATGTTAACCTGAAGGCTGTGAGCCTCAGTTGATATTGCAGGAAACTAACTGATAATCTGGTAGGCACGGTGTTTCGTTTTTATTCCATTTTCAAATCATGTCATTGTGCTGCTTTCTACCAGTTGGACATATGCATTCATATGTTGGACAGCAAGGAAAGTAAGCTAATATATTTTATTTTTATCAACGTGAGGTTCGTATTTTGCTTTTTCATGGAGAAAATAGTGAACTGCTAAATTTTCCTTAAAGGTGGATTTCGTTGAACTTTTTCTTGGAAGGTGACTTTGCTGTGTCTATTGAGAAAGCAAGGCGCACTTCTTTTCAGAGTAACATTTCTAATTGTGCGTAGTAGCCAAGCCAGTCTCTGCCTGTGGATAAAATGTTATGTTCTGTTCCCTCTGATGACTTAGCCACTTGGAAAGTGATGGATCCTACTCTCTTTCTCTTCCAAGTATCTGAGAAGAAGGAAAAGGTTTAGTACTTAGATTTTTGAATTTGCCTCAAGATTGGATGTTGTTTTTCTCTCCCCACTGGCATCAGGGACCGTGGCTCTCATTTCTTGATTATACACTTAAACACCTCTGAGTATGATCTTTGGGCAGAATCCAAGCAAGGTTCCGCCCATAGGCTCAGAGTAGAAAGTCTTCAAGTTTCTCCAGGGACACGCTTTCAGCTTTCACCTAGGCAATGATTTGGGGGCATCACACTAATAAAAGTGCCTGCCCCTCTTCTCCAGGGGTTCAAGTTTGAGTAGCATATATCAGGAAGGAGCATATTAATAACTCAGGTGCACAACTCCAAAATGCCATTCTAGGATGGTTTTTCTAGAGACAACTCAGAGCCCACATCTGGAAGTGGGCTTTTATTTGCAATTATTGTAAAAGCCATAAAAACCCTTGATATTGTCACTTAACACAAATTTGATATCAGAGGAAGTCAACCGAGTAATCTAGATCAGAGGGGAAAAAGGCAGCCTCGCAGCAAGACTGTCAAAAGCATGCAACCAGGGATTCATTTCTGCCCCCGGTGATAGGAAGAAGCTAGGAAAAGAGAGACTTGATGGGACCTGGGACAGATGCCTTAGAGCAAAATCCATATATCAGCATTCAGTAGCCACGTAGTTAGAAACAACTGGCTCATCCTGCCCAGAGGTAACAAACAGTAGATACAGAATTTATTCTTAAACTCCATTTTTACTGTGGTTCAATTGGATTTGGGGAGGGGGCATCGGGAGGGGTGTTAGATCTCATAAGTCCACAAAGACCAGTCAGCTTGATGTCCAGTGGTTAAATTTAAGGACCACAAAAGTGTGTTTTGGCAATTCTGATAGGCTATTACCATCAGTTTATACATGTATGTATAGTTTGGGTTTTTTTTATTATAAAACAGCCAGATAGCCAGCAATTAAGGTGTTTTTTCATCTTTGTGAAATTCATAGGCAAATTCTGACTCTAAGATGCACAGTCTAAATGAAACCTTCAATCTCAATCTGTATATATATATTGTACATGACTGCTAGTAGGTATGAAATGCATTCTCAGAACTGAAAACTCATGCGACGTGATCATGTGTTTGCATAGGGAATGTTACAATTCTGTCCACTGCAATTTGCTAACGGAAAAGATATAAGATACGCAGTGCCATCTAGACCTTTTCTCATTTCTTCAAAAGCAGTGCTCGGTTAAAAATAATAATAATAATAATAATAATGGTCTATGAACCAAAAGACTTTACATTCTAGCATTAGGAACAAAAAAATCTGTCAGCTTAAAAAAGCACAACACATAGAGAAAGTTCAGTGGAAAGCATACTGGGGAAATGGATCACGTTCATTTTAAGCAAGACCTGCATTAAATTGGCAACTAAGACAATTTTCATTTTCTGTAGATACCTGTGTTCCAGTTTTATGATTAACTTCACACTCAACAACAAAAACAGCAAAGCAATCAATAAACAACAGGTCATACAACAATCTACATGTATATATGTGTATATATAGACCCATGTAAACATACATGCATATATATGCATTCATATGTTGGAAAACAAAAGGAATAAGCTAATATCTTTTATTTCCTTCATTAAGCCAGTGTATGAGTAGCTTTAATTTGGCCACCAACAGATCAACACATTGGAACAAGTGATACAGGGTACTGAGCGCTTCCCTGTCAGCAAGCCCATGCCGTTCTCGGGGACCCTGCGCAGCTGGACGCGGCGACAGTGCTGACCTCAGAGCGCCGGAGACTAACTCGCTCTCGCATTGCTTGGCTACTTGCTCTCTCTTCAAGGGAAATAAATAGCTTTGTCCATTGGTGATTTAAAAAACAAAAATGTCTTAAACAAAATGATTTTAAAAAAATCCTCCTAGGCGGAGGGGAAAGAGCCCTCCCCGTGCCGGTTAGGGCCCGTCCTCGGCGCTTCTCGCCCCTTCCCCTGCGCTCGTGCACAGAGCCCGCGGGGCGAGCGCCATGACTTCCACGGAGTGTGTAAATATCAGCCCAGATTTCTTAAATATTTTTAACTTCTAATTTGTATTGTATGGTAAGGCAGTGTGCGAATTCTGTTTATGGCTTACGTTGATGTGTTACAATACTCTGTAAATAATTAAACATGCTGTAAATGAATAGTCAGTAGATGCGGATAACTGTTTCATTGTTTTCCTTAATTTTTATTTATTTTTTACTAAGTACGGCTACTTAGTAATTTTTATTTATTTTTTACTAAGTACGGCTACTGCAGTGCCCCACCAGAGTAATTTAGGCATCCTTTTGCATAAATGCTTTGGGATCCCAGATGGAAGGGTTTCAGTTCGCTATCTCGCGCACACACACACATACACACACATTCTCACACATATCTACACACGCATCGACACACGAACACATCACACACACACACACACGCACTCAAACACAACCCTCTTCCCCTCGCCCACTCACTAGCTCCCACTCTTGCTCCCTCCACGGGAAACGAGAGTGTTCATGTAGTGAATGTAACAACCAGGAGATTGCCTTAGAGATGGCAATTGGTTAAAGCAGAAATGATCACTGATTACTTAAAAGGGTGTTTTATGTGTCAGAGTTTAAGAAACCAAAGGTTGTAACTTAAATCTCAATTTTCAAAGAGTAAAAGTTTATATTGATGGCACTACAGGAAATAAAATTGCTTGCGGTTCATACCTGCTCCCGGAAATTTATTACACACAATACATCTTAGAGGAGCTTTTTTTTAAATAACAGCATCTTGTCCTTAGATAGTATTCTTCCTTTCAACCAAAGACTCCAGAATTATTCAAAAACAAAAACGGAAAGAAAAAAGGAAAAATGAGGGAAAATCAAAAAAAAAAAAAAAAGACTGCTTCACACCAAAGGTTTAAAAAACATTTTCCAAGTACACTAGGGACATTGTAAAAAATAAAGAGCCAACATAATGCTAATTAAGATTGTACCCTAAAGAAATCGTTTAAGGAAAAAATACATAAAATTAACAGTACCCTTAAGTATCTGTTCATTTTTAGGATATTGAAGTAAAACGTTTCTGTAGGTGTTCGCAAAATTGTGACATCAGATATTAATTTGCTTGGAAAAGTTCTTTTGTGATAAAGACATATCCAAAATGATGAAAAACAGAACTTCATGTTTTTTAACTTTCAAAAGCAAATGCCTCCCTCCTGTTACATGTCCACTAATGTGATGCCCACGTGTGTGTCCTTGCCTGTCTGAAGCAAGGTGACAGTCCTATCAGCTCATACCCTTCCCTTTGCAGGTCAGTGATCGGCTTTCAGCCACGCTCCTTTTTAACATGATCCAAAGTTGCAAATAATTTACATTCCCTAACATTTTTTAAAATTTTTTTTGCATGGGTGTTTAAAGAGTTTTGTTGTGAATATTGTCCCTGCACAGTTTTGAATTGTCCTTTTATAAAAAGTGATATTCTAGTTTCTTCACAATGTAGTGATTATCAGCCTTACGAATTACCTGGTAGCCTTCCTTAACATGCACAGAATGCAGATTTTCCACCGGCTAGAAAATGCAAAACGCAAGTGGATATCATGACATCTATTTTCACGTCTTTCTAAAAACAGGACTACTAAAATCTCTGGGATACATGAGATAGTAACAAATGAGGATTATAAATGAGTAGCACATAAGAATTATTTTCTTGAATTTAAACTTATTACAGTCAGTTTCAGCATGTAAATATATACTAATGTTGGCTAGTGTGTAATTCTTGAACTAAGAAATATAAATAAAACTTGAAAGGATGTGTGCGTGGTTTCCTTGGGTTCAGAATTTGCTTTATCTGTTAGTATGGGTTAGGCTATAGAATGAAGGCTTTTGTGAAGAGCGATGAAAAGCTGGGGAACTTGAATTTGGGCTCTGACTTAGCACATATTAGCTAGTGATTGTGCAGTTACTTAATCCACCCGACTCCCAGTTTTCTTACCTTTAAAACAAAGATATAATTGTACATCCTTTGAAGGGCTATTGTGAAGATGAAATAACTCGTAAGGCATCCTTAGCACAGTACAAGGCACGTGGTAAGTGGTGTGTCAACAGTAAGCACTATTGTTGCTGTTGTTAAATATCATCATTAGTAGGATGGTCAGTATATAGATCACAAAGGCTGTTATGAGAGCGATTATTAAATGTGCTCATAGGTTAGATATTTTATATTAAGGGTAATTAAGAACGTGGCTTCAGGTACAAAAACATGACAAACACAAGGTGCTCATTCATTTACCGTTCAACGGATATCTGCTGAAGACGTAATGCTGAGTACTTCACAAACTTAATAGTCACCTAATCCGTACCAAGCTCGAAGACACTCAAATCAGAATCAGGATCTTGCCCATGAGAGTGAAAGAACTCAGGGTGCAATGACCCCCAAATCCTTGCCATTTCTTTCCACCTCATCATCAAAAGTAAGTGGCCAGGCTTGTTTAATTCTCACTTCTTTTGGTCATTTCTCAAGAAACATGTGCTGAGAGCCCACCATCTGCTGGATCTTGTGCTAGGTTTGGAAAGACGGAGGCCTGACCTCCGGGGTTATGGGGCAGCTCTCGAACACGTGGAAACTCTACCAAGGTCGGTGGGTTAGCTGGTGACAAGCCTGGTGTCTTTCACTCTTACTGACTTTAGAATGTCCAGGCAGTGCCCCATTAGACTGTTAGCTCGGGTGAGGTGACCTGGCAGGACAAAATTGTCCAATAACGTCATGATTAACAGGAACCACAGCTACAAAAGACTGATGCCATGAGACTCACCTATAGGATGAGTGACAACCCCCTTCTGCTCAGCCTTTCGATGCAAATTGCAAATTGTATGATCTAGAAGCATAAGATACATTTGCCTTTGACATCCCTCTTGCTAGGTTGTCAGCATGTCTGTGCAACAGGGAGAACACACGTGTACTCAAATACATGGACGTGAACAGATAGCTAAGGGAGTGTGTGCGGGTATGTGTGTGCACATGAGCGTGTGAGTATGAGCCCACGTGGCTGGGGATGCTGAGAGCGCCGGTGGGAAATGCCGCCGTAGTCGGAGGTCATGCTCTGTAACATCCCCTGGGAAGGGAACATAGTCTAACTACTGTAATTTCCCAGAGTGGAGCTTTACACATCTTGCTCTCCTCTGAAACTTGCTCTAATTCTGAAATACCATCTGACATTTTTCATGCTGAATATTTCTCTACGCCATGAAATCCACCTCCCAGTATAATACCAGTTTAGGGGGGGAAGTGTCAGGGATGACAGTAGGCACAGTCAGTCCATAATCCTTGGGTTTTTAAAGCGGGCAGCTGCAAAAAAATGGAAACCCATTCTTGTGCCTACAGTCTCGGTGTCAGAGCGTTACCCAAATATGTGAGCCACTCCCACCCTACCCAGCATGGCGTCACCCCTCCATGTGGTCTAGAATCAAGGAATAATCTTGGGGAGACAAGTGTCAGACAAGCCCCAGGACGATTAGGCTTCTTCGGCAGGACCTCTTATCAATGTACTGATTTGAGCATGTTCTGGTCTTTTCACATGTTCCAAGTGGCTGGCCAGGTCATTAGTATTTATTTGTATATTTTTTCAGGTCAGAGATTTTTCTTAGAAAGAAAGGAGGAGCTGCTGGGACATACTCAGAGGTGATGCTCAGGCGCAGTTAGAGATTAACAACAGTAGCTGGTAATAAAGCAGAATGGTGATAAATACACTGAAACAGTGAAGGCCGTCTCTCGCTCGCTCTCAGGAAACGCACAGATTTCTTCTTTCTTCACAGGTAGATCTGTCCTTACCATAGATCTTAGCAGCCTTAGCCTACAATTTTTTTCTTTCCTTATTAAGTCCAGAAACTTCTGGCTCAAGGAAGCACCTTATGGCTTGTCTTCGGCACCTTCGAGTTGGCGGCATCTCTCCCTGGCGCTGTGGGCCGTTGCGCAGCAAAGGAAAGGGGCTGGCCGCCGAGTGACAACAGGCAGGGGGTTCAGACCATCAGCGCGGGCGCACGAGACAAAGGGACGATTCACATCCCGGGCAGGGTGGGGACGAATGTCATGAGACGTCGTGACACTAATGGGGCCGGCACGCCGCTTACAACTAATGAGCTGTTTTCTTTCCGATCCCCTCATTCGGTGGCACGGGGCTGCGGTCGGCCGCGGGTGGATGAAACCGCGGGTAAGGGGGAGACTGCAATCGGAAAGGAGGCGTTTTGTTCTAATTACAGTAATAAATGGTCGGAGTCGATCAAACACCAGTCTATTTGTGAAGGACCAAGGAACCCGGTCCCCCGCTTGGTGGCCCTGCGGAAGGAAAGGAGAAAGGGAAGGGGACCTGAAAAACCTAAGGATAAAGGGACGAAGGGAAGAAGGAACTTAGTAGACTTCCAGCACCAGGCAGCCCACCCAGTGCGGGATGCGGATTTAATTCTGGAAATAAGAGCGTGAGGAGGGGACGGTTACTATATCTATGTTGCAGGGGACATAAAATGTCAACGATTGGTGTCTCAACCCAGAGCTGACTAACTCC